CTTTTATATATTTATATTTTTTATATTTATCTATATAGATATATTTGTATATATATATATATGATTTATTATATATTATATATATATATATATATATATATATATATATATATATATATCTTATATTATGCGTTAGATGTGACCTAAGTGTTAGTAGAATTGCAGAAGTAACTGAAAAATTACATGTATCATGAGACAGCAAAAAAAAACACCAGCAATCCTACCATCATGAAAAACAATTACGTTCAGTTTTACACTCACCTTGGCAGGACGGTTAGTACCTACCTGGCGTGGTGGCTGTCTACCAACTACTGCCACAAGACGGTTAGTACCTTCTGGGACGGTTGTAGTCTACCAACCTACTGCCACAAGACGGTAGTACCTCCCTGGGTGGTTGTGACTACCATCCTTACTGCCACAAGGACGGTAGTTAAAACTCCTGGGTGCTAGGTGGTTGTTGTCTACCACTACTGCCACAAGACGCGTAGTACCTCCCTGGGTGGGTGTTGTCTACCAACCTACTGCCACATGACGGTAGTACCCCCTGGGTGGTTGCTGGTCTACCAACCTACTGGCCACATGACGGTAGTACCTCCCTGGGTGGTTGCTGTCTCCAACCTACTGCCACAGACGGTAGTACCTCCCTGGGTGGTTGTTGTCTACAACTACTGCCCACAAGACGGTAGTACCTCCGGGTGGTTGTTTTCTACCAACCTTCTGCCACAAGACCGGTAGGTAAAAGAACCTCCCAGGGTGGTTTCGTTGTTTACCAACCTATGACCACAAGACGGAGTAGTTACCTCCCCGGGTGGTTGTCTGTCTACAACTAATGCCACAACGGTAGTACCTCCCTGGGTGGTTGCTGTCTACCAACCTACTGCACAGACGGTAGTACCTCCCGTGGGTGGTTGATGCTACCACCTTACTGCCTACAAGACGGTTAGTACCTCCCTGGGTGGTTGCTGTTACCAACATCCGCCACAGACGGTAGTACCTCCCTGGCGGTTTGCTGTCTTACCAACCTACTGCACAAGACGGTAGTACCTGCCTGGGCGGTTGTTGTCTACCAAACCTACTGAACAAGACGGTAGTACCTCCCTGGGTGGTTGTTGTCTACACTACTGCACAAGATGGTGTACCTCCCTGGGTGGTGTTGGTCTATCAAACTACTGCCACAAAGACCGGTAGTACCTCCTGCGATGGTTGCTGTCTACCAACCTACTGCCAAAAGACGTAGTACATCCCTGGGCGGTTGTTGTCTACCAACCTATGCCACAAGACGCGTAGTACTCACTGCGCCGGTTGTTGTCTACCAACACCTACTGCCACAAGACAGTAGTACGTCCTGGGTGGTTGCTGTCTACCAGCCTACTGCCACAAGACGGTAGTACCTCCCTGAGCGGTTGTTGTTACCAACCTATGCACAAGACGTAGTACCTCCTGGATGGTTCTTTGTGTACAAAACGTACTACCACAAGGGACTGTAGTACCTCCCTGGGTGGTTGCTGTCTTACCAACCTATGCCACAAGACGGTAGTGCCTACTGGTGGTTGTTGTCTACAACCTACTTGCCACAAGACGGTGGTTCCTCCCTGGGTGATTGTTGTCTACCAAACCTAACTACACAAGAGGGTAGTACCTCACTGGGGGTTGCTGTCTACCAAACCTACTGCAAATAAGACGGTAGTACCTCCCTGGGTGGTTGCTGTCTTACCAACTACTGCACATGACGGTTGTACTCCCCTGGGTGGTTGGTGCTGTCTACCAACATACTGCACAAGACGGTAAGTACTCCCTGGGGGTTGCTGTCTACCAACCTACTGCCACAAGACGGTAGTACCTCCCTGGCGTGGTGTTGTCTAACCAACCTACTGCACAAGACGGTAGTACCTCCCTGGGTGGTTGCTGTCTACCAACCTACTGCCACAAGACGGTAGTACCTCCCTGGATGGTTGCTGTCTACCAACCTATTTGCCACAGATGGTATTCCCCTCCCTGGGTGGTTGCGTCTACCAACCTACTCCCACAAGACGTTAGTACCTCCCTGGGTGGTTGCTGTCTACCAACCTACTGCCACAAGACTGTAGTACCTCCCTGGGTGGTTGTTGTCTACCAACCTACTGCCACAGGACGGTAGTACCTCCCTGGGTCGTTGCTGTCTACCAACCTACTACCACATAACGGTAGTACCTCCCTGGGTGGTTGCTGTCTACCAACCTACTACCACAGGACGGTAGTACCTCCCTGGGTGGTTGCTGTCTATCAACCTACTACCATAGCACGGTAGTACCTCCCTGGGTGGTTGCTGTCTACCAGCCTGCTACCACAGGACGGTAGTACGTCAGTGGGTGGTTGCTGTCTACCAGCCTACTACCACAGGACGGTAGTACCTCCCTGGGTGGTTGCTGTCTACCAGCCTACTACCACAGGACGGTAGTACCTCCCTGGGTGGTTGCTGTCTACCAACCTACTACCACAGAACTGTAGTATCTCCCTGGGTGGTTGCTGTCTACCAGCCTACTACCACAGGACGGTAATACCTCCTTGGGTGGTTGCTGTCTACCAACCTTCTACCACTGGACGTTAGAACCTCCCTGGGTGGTTGCTGTCTACCAACCTACTCCCACAGGACGGTAGAACCTCCCTGGGTGGTTTGCTGTCTACCAACTTCTCCCACAGGACGGGAGAACTTCCTGGGTGTTGCTGTCTACCAACCTTCAAACCACAGGACGGTAGAACCCCTCCCTGGGTGGTTGCTGTCTACCAACCTTCTAACCAAAAGGACGGTAGAACCTCCCTGGGTGGTTGCTGTCTACCAACCTACTACCACAGGACGGTTAGAACCTCCCTGGGGGGTTTTGCTGTCTCCCAAACCTTCACCACAGGACGGTAGAACCTCCCTGGGTGGTTGCTGTCTACCAACCTTCTACCACAGGACGGTAGAACCTCCCTGGGTGGTTGCTGTCTACCAACCTTCTACCACAGGACGGTAGAAACCTCCCTGGGTGGTTGCTTTTCTACCAACCTTCTACCACAGGACGGTAGAACCTCCCTGGGTGGTTGCTGTCTACCAACCTTCTACCACAGGACGGTAGAACCTCCCTGGGTGGTTGCTGTCTACCAACCTTCTACCACAGGACGGTAGAACCTCCCTGGGTGGTTGCTGTCTACCAACCTTCTACCACAGGACGTAGAACCTCCCTGGGTGGTTGCTGTCTACCAGCCTACCATCATTAAAATATATTATATATCTATATATATATATATATATATATATATATATATATATAATATATATAATAATATATATACATCTTACATACCTACGTGGAGTCTACCTGGAGGGGTGTTCTCAGGGTCAACGCCTCCGCGGCCCGGTCCATGACCAGGTTTCTGTGTATCAAAGCCTGATCAAATAGGCTGTTGCTTCTGGCCTCACATAGTTCAACATACTAGCCGCAGGCCGGCAAGAGACCGACTCTAGTTACATGGTTATATCAGTTACATGATTATATTAGTTATATAATTATATCAGTTACATGACTAAATCATTTACAATAATTTATCATTAACATGAATATATGAGTTACATAGTAATATACCTTTAACTTTTATCATTATTATCCCCTCTTGGAAAGTTCCTTAACACCTGTGAAGGGCTCTAATACGTGCACTTAGGTGTCCCGTAGATCGAACTCTAGCATACTCAGCTCACACACTCAGGTCCGGGGTTCAATTCAGCCGGTACGGCAGGAAACATTAGGATGTGTTTCCTTAAGGCACCTACTGTTCATGTTATCTCTACTGTTCATGCTAACTCATCAGTCAAATGTGTCCCGGGGTATTTAGTCGACTGGTGTGGGTCGCATCCTGGGGACAAAAATTGTCATAATTTGCTGGAAATGCTCAGCATAACAAGCGGCTTTCTATATACTAGTATGTCACTGATGTCAGCTAGGACTGTATACCTTGTATATGTATGCATGAGCGCGCATGCACACACACACACACACACACACACACACACACACACACACACACACACACACACACACACACACACACACACACAGTCATAGAGTTGTCAAGAAGTGGAATAGCCTAGCAAGTGAAGTAGTGGAGGCAGGAACCATACATAGTTTTAAGAAGAGGTATGATACAGCTCAGGAAGCAGAGAGATAGAGGACCTAGTAGCGATCAGTGAAGAGGCGGGGCCAGGAGCTGAGTCTCGACCCCTGCAACCACAATTAGGTGAGTACACACACACACACATGCACGCACGCACACACACACACGCACACACACACACACACACACATGCACGCACGCACACACTCACACGCACATATGCGCGTGGGTCCATGGGGTGCAGACGTGGGTAACTAGGCTCCGAGAACCCTAGTGTTTTTAAGGCGTGCAGTAAATGCTAGCAGTAATCAGTGGTAGTGACATCGTCAGTGAACAATAATACGAGTGATAACTAAAGTTATTAGTTAAAAATAGTCGAGAGGAAGCTGAAATTATCAATATTTCAAAACACCAAGCCGTTGTGGGTCTACTAGGTGTGTTGCCACACAGATTCAAACATACAAAGATCAAATTGAGTGTGGAAGCGGCTGTTCAAGAATTATCAGCATTTGGCTAACAAGTGAAATGTTGGGGCACCATACAGTGAGAATGAAAAAGTTAATAAGCAAGGGGAAAGGAAAAATAAAATATATAACAAGAGAAGGTGGCAGCAGTAGGCCTGCTTAAGCAGTGACGTCACGACAAGTAGTGTGCCATTGTACATATAAAGTGAAGTGTATATAATGTGAAGTGTATATTATCATAAGTGAAAAGTGAAATCGTGTGAGGAACAAGGGATGTATGAGCACATGTGGTTATAATCAACACGGGTGAAGGATCTCCAAAATAGGGATTAAAGGCCTACGTATGACGACTTTGTCATCAGCATCTGGCAACTTGTCACGACCATTGCCAGCACAAGTATCACTCACCTATTTTGTGGTTTGCATCTTGCAGGCTTGTTCTGGCCTTGATCGCTGTTAGATACTGGTCACTCACTCCTGCAAGCTATTACAGTAGTTATTAGTAGTAAGAATACTTAGGAAGCTAGGAAGTCCTCTCTCAACGTGAACAAGGAATAGGATAATAACCAGCAATAACTGATACTTAAATCCAGAAAGGGCAAAAAGTGGAGAGAGTAGCATTTCTAGCAAAGACAGTTGGAACAGAGAGGTATAACGCATCTTTAAACCACACCATCTACCCCCCCCCCCCATAACCATCCCTCTCTCACACACACACACAAGGGCAGACACTCATAGAAGCTTTAGACCCTACTAGCAATTTCCACTTTTTATAACCCAGAATTACTGGTATGTATTAACAGTATCTCCCCCTCATACCTCCCCCATACACACGAACACACATGTATACACACATACACACACACACACAGCTTTTAAGGGCAACATTGTAAGTAGGTGGGTCAAGTCAAAGGAGAGTGGCGGTCAGGTCGCAAGAAGTTGCGGCCAGTCAAGGACACTAACACACACACACACACACACACACACACACACACACACACACACACACAACACACACACACACACACACACACATACACACACACACACACATGCACAACAACACACACACCACACACACACACACAACACACACACACACAACACACACCACACAACACACACACATTGACACACACACACACAACACACACACACACACACACACACACACACACACACACACACACACACACACACACACACACAAACACACACAAACACACACACACACACACACACAAAACACACAATACACAACACACACACACACACACACACACACACACAAACACACACAACCCCACATATAACACACACACACACACACAACACACACACACACACACACACACAACAAAACACACACACACACACACACACACAACATACACACACACCACACACACACACACACACACACACACACACACACATTGCCAGACTCACACATACACTCCCCCCCTCCCCCACCAACATCTCACTCCTTCACCTGATCCTCCCCTCCCTCTTTCACCCTCCCCCTCCCCACCTCTCCCTCCTTCCCCCTCTCCCTCTCCCACTCACCCACTTGCTTCTCCCTCCTTCCCACTCCCCCTCCCCACTACTCTCCACATAGCCACAGTTCCCCCCTCTACCTCCTTCCCCACACACTCTGACATACACAATACTACCTAACATACAGAATTACATAGGTTTCCCACTCTGAGGCAATAAGGATAAAACAAAAATGGGTTGCCAGAGAGCAACAAGAAAAACCAAGGGACAGGAGGAGGAAACTGAAAAGGAAGATTGGGCAGCAGAGCTCACAAAAAGGGAACATGAATGGGAAAAGAAACTAGAAGAACTTAGCATGAGAATGGAAGAGAGGATAGACATGGAAAGCAGGAAGTGGGAGGTGCAAGTCAAAGCAGCAGGGGCCAGGATACAGAGTTTAGAAGAGGAACTGAAAAATCTGAAACAGCCTAAAGAACTAAAGAACATTTTGGGATTGACAACAGAGACTGCTACCTCAGTCACAAACAAGGGGACTGTAGGGAAAGAAGGAGCAAAACTGCATGTAGAAGCTCAATCAGTGGAGACTGTAATAAATGAAAGAGCTAAGCTATATGTGGAGGCCCTAACAGACCACAGTAGAGCCCAGGGAAAGCCGAGAAGGGAAAATGACAGGCCACTGAGCCCAAGTACATTAGCTAGTGAAACTGAAGAAAGGAAAGCTGAAATGGAGGAAATCAAATTGAATGATGGGATACACAGGGATATGCAGTGGGAGAATGAAAGGGTGAGGTCAGTCTTTGTGTATGGGCTCCAGGAAGTTGAAGGGGAAACATATGAAGCAAGAAAACAAGGAAAAAAAAAGCAATTGAAAGCATCATGAAAGCAATAGGAGAAGATGACATGACCCAGCTGGAAAATTTTCGGAGAATAGGGGGGTTTGTAAAAAGAACCCGGCCAGTGAAAGTGACCTTCAAGGCAGAATCGACTCGGAACAGGATCCTGCAGGAGAAAGCACGATTAATGGACATGCCAGCATACAGGAAGGTGTATCTCGACCGTGACAGAACACAAGCAGAAAGGCAGAAACTCTGAGAGATGGTACATAGGCGAAAGGAGGAAAGAGAGGGGATGGAGAAGACAGACAGGAGATCCCAGACACAGGAAGATCAAATGCAGCCTCCCTCACAACTTCCTATAGAAGCCTCCCAACCAGGTCAACCCCAGTGCAACCAAACACTCTAAACCAAAACACCCATGCCACATCCAATGTCCCCACCCGCTGCATTACAAACTCCACCCCCACAGCAACTACCCATAGTTCCTTATCAGGTCTCCCACTTCCCCAACCCCAATACACCTCCCAGACCAAAATCTTAGAAAAGAAGTTGAAGGTGTGGTATACGAATGCAGATGGAATAACAAATAAGTATGAGGAGTGGCATGAAAGAATCAAGGAGACATCCCAAGACATAATAGCACTCACAGAAACAAAACTCACCAGAATAATAACAGATTCAATCTTCCCATCCAGATATCAAATCCTCAGGAAAGACAGAGGGAGGAGAGGGGGAGGAGGAGTTGCACTGCTCATTAAAAACCAGTGAGGGTTTGAGAAAATGGAAGGAATGGATGGCACGGGCGAAAGGGACTACTTAGTAGGAACAATCCAGTCTGAGGGACATAAGGTGATAATTGCAGTAATGTACAACCCACCACAGAACTGCAGGAGGCCAAGAGAAGAATACAATGAGAGCAACAGAGCAATGGTCGACACACTAGCCGAGGTGGCCAGGAGAGCACACATGGGGGGAGCAAAGTTACTAGTTATGGGTGATTTCAATCACAAAGGGGATTGACTGGAAAACCTGGAGCCCCATTGGAGTCCCAAAACATGGAGAGCCAAGATGATGGATGTGGTACTGGAAAACCTCATGCATCAACATGTTACAGACACTACCAGAGAGAGAGAGGAGAGGATGAACCAGCAAGACTAGACCTTGTATTCACCTTGAGTAGTTCTGACATCGAGGATATCATGTATGAAAGGTCCCTGGGAGCTAGTGATCATGTGGTTCTGTGCTTCGACTACATAGTTGAGCTCCAAGTGGAGAGAGCAGCAGGAATAGGGTGGGAAAAAAAAACCAATACAAAAGGGGAACTACTCAGGCTTGAGGAACTACTTTCAAGACATTCAGTGGGAGAGGGAACTGACAGGAAAACCAGTACCAGAAATGATGGACTATGTCGCAACAAAATGCAAGGAGGCAGAGGAGAGGTTTGTTCCCAAGGGAAACAGAAATAATGGGAAGAGCAGAACGAGTCCTTGGTTCACCCAAAGGTGTAGGGAGGCAAAAACTAGGTGTACTAGAGAATGGAAAAGGTACAGAAAACAGAGAACTCAGGAAAATAAAGAGATTAGCCGAAGAGCCAGAAACGAATATGCACAGATAAGAAGGGAGGCTCAGCGGCAATACGAAAATGACATAGCATCGAAAGTCAAGACTGACCCGAAGCTGTTGTACAGCCACATCAGGAGGAAAACAACAGTGTGAGGACCAGGTAATCAGACTGAGGAAGGGTGATGGGGAATTCACAAGAAACGACTGGGAGGTATGTCAGGAGCTCAACACGAGATTTAAAGAAGTATTTACAGTGGAAACCAGTTGGACTCCAGGAAATCAGAGCAGGGGGGTGCACCAGCAAGTGCTGGATGAGGTACATATAACGAAGGAGGAGGTGAAGAAGCTGCTATGCGAACTTGACACCTCAAAGGCGGTGGAACCAGACAACATCTCTCCATGGGTCCTTAAAGAGGGAGCAGAGATATTGTGTGTACCATTAACAAAGATCTTCAACACATCATTTGAAACTGGGCAACTCCCCGAGGTATGGAAGATGGCAAATGTAGTCCCAATTTTTGAAAAGGGAGACAGACAAGAGGCACTAAACTACAGACCTGTATCACTAACGTGTATAGTATGCAAGGTCATGGAGAAGATCATCAGGAGGAGAGTGGTGGAGCACTTGGAAAGAAACAAGTGTATAATTGACAACCAGCATGGTTTCAGGGAGGGAAACTCCTGTGTCAAAAACCTACTAGAGTTTTATGACAAGGTGACAGAAGTAAGACAAGAGAGAGAGGGGTGTATCGACTGCATTTTTTTGGACTGCAAGAAGACCTTCGACACAGTTCCTCAAAAGAGGTTACTGCAAAAGCTAGAGGATCAGGCACACATAACAGGAAAGGCACTGCAATGGATCAGAGAATACCTGACAGGGAGGAAACAACGAGTCATGGTACGTGACGAGGTGTCAGAGTGGGCGCCTGTGACAAGCGGGGCTCCACAGGGGTCAGTCCTAGGACAGGTGCTGTTCTTGGTATATGTGAATGACATAACAGAAGGGATAGACTCAGAAGTGTTCTTGTTTGCGGATGATGTGAAGTTAATGAGAAGAATCAAATCGGATGAGGATCAGGCAGGACTACAAAGAGACCTGGACAGTCTACAAGCCTGGTCCAGCAACTCGCTCCTTGAGTTTAACCCTGCCAAATGCAAAGTCATGTAGATTGGGGAAGGGCAAAGAAGACCGCAGACACAATATAGTTTAGATGGCCAAAGTCTGCAAACCTCACTCAAGGAAAAAGATCTGGGGGTGAGTATAACACCGAGCATATCTCCTGAGGCGCACATCAATCAGATAACTGCTGCAGCATACGGGCGCCTGGCAAACCTACGGATAGCGTTCCGATACCTCAGTAAGGATTCGTTCAAGACTCTGTATACCATTTACTTCAGGCCCATACTGGAGTATGCAGCACCAGTTTGGAATCCACACCTAGTCAAGCACGTCAAGAAATTAGAGAAAGTGCAAAGGTTTGCAACAAGACTAGTCCCAGAGCTACGGGGATTGTCCTACGAAGAAAGGTTGAGGGAAATCGGCCTGACGACACTGGAGGCCAGGAGGGTCAGGGGAGACATGATAACGACATATAAAATACTGCGCGGAATAGATGAGGTGCACAAAGACGGGATCTTCCAGAGATGGGACACAGACACAAGTGGTCACAATTGGAAGTTGAAGACTCAGATGAATCAAAGGGATGTTAGGAAGTATTTCTTCAGTCATAGAGTAGTCAAACCGTGGAATAGCCTAGAAAGTGAAGTAGTGAAGGCGGGAACCATACATAGTTTTAAGGCGAGGTATGATAAAGCTCATGGAGCAGGGAGAGAAAGGACCTAGTATCAATCAGTGAAGAGGCGGGGCCAGGAGCTATGAATCGACCCCTGCAACCACAAATAGGTGAGTACACACACACACACACACACACACACAAAAGAAAAGTTAAGAGAAATTGGTCTGACGACACTGGAGGACACGAGGGTCAGGGGAGACATGATAGCGACATACAAAATACTGCGTTGAATAGATAAGGACAGAAACAGGTTGTACCAGAGATGGGACACAGAAACAAGGGGTCACAATTGAAAGTTGAAGACTCAGGTGAGTCAAAGGGATGTTAGGAAGTATTTCTTCAGCCACAGAGTTGTTTGGAAGTGGAATAGTCTTGCAAGTGATGTAGTGGAGGCAGGAACCACATATAATTTTAAGACGAGGTATGATAAAGCTCATGGAGCAGGGACAGGGAGTACCCAGTAGCGGTCAGTGAAGAGGGGGGACCAGGAGTCTCGACCCCTGCAACCACAATTAGGTGAATACACACACCAGCGAAGAAGCGGTGCCAGTAGCTATTAATCTACCCCTGCAACCAAAACTATCTGAGTACACACACGCACACGCGCATGTATGTATTCATACGTACACGAATATGTATGTTTATATATGTTGCTCCAATACAATTTTATGGCCTACCTGTACTAATCCTTTTGCGTGCTTTGCACAGGAGGCTGAGCTGATGGGATACAGGTCGTGTTGAGTGGCTGGAGAACGGGAGGAGGTTAGAGGCCAAGGAAGTGTTAGGCGGAAGGTAGCACGTATGTAGGAAAGTCCTGTACGAGACTTGCACAAATCCGCATGGCAAACTGATGTGTTTGCATTACCCGGCAGAACTGCATCAACATTTATGTCGCAATGTACACACACACACACCCACAACCCCACCTTCCTCCACACAGGCTCTGTAGGTGCTAATATGTCAGGGACAAAGCCGAAGAGAAAAATGGGGAATAAACTATCAACGATGAACCTAGTTATCAACCTATGAGCATATGATTTAAGTGAAGTAGGAAAGAAAAGGCGCCTGAGTGCTAGCGACCATACAGTACCTAGAGTTTACCTGGAGAGGGTTACGAGGGTCAACACCCCCGCGGCTTGGTCTGAGACCAGGCCTCGTGGTGGACCAGGATGTTACTGCTGGCCGCAAGCAAACTGACGTACGAACCACAGCTCGGCTGGTCAGGTACTGACTTTAGGTACCAGTCCAGTGCCTTCTTGAAGACAGCCAGGGGTCTATTGGTAATTTCCCTTATGTATGCTGAGAAGCAATTGAACAGTCTTGGGCCCCTGACACTTATTGTGTTGTCTGTCAGACTACTTGTGGCGCCCCTGCTTTTCACTGGGGGAATGTTGCATCTCCTGCCGAGTCTTTTGCTTTCATAGGCAGTGATTTTCGTGTGCAAGTTTGGCACTAATCCCTCTAGGATTTTCCTGCGTTCCAGGGAATACAAATCAAGGGACCTCAGCCGTTCCCAGTGATTTAGGTGCCTTATCGTACTTATGTGTGCCGTGAAAGTTCTTTGTACACTCTCCAGGTCAGCAATTTCACCTGCCTTGAAAGGGGCAGTTAGTGTACAGCAGTATTCCAGCCTAGAGAGAAGCGATTTGAAGAGAATCATCAAAACATATAACAATATTACAGTTAGTAAATTTAGTCATGGGAATGGTTTTATCTCAGCATGATACACTGTTTCTATAAAAGCTCCTATATTGGCAGAGTATTTCAGGCAAACTTAGGACTAACTTAAGATTAATTAGGCAATAACTACATTAGGAATTTTATGTTTACGGTCGTTTGGGTGAGTGTAAGTGTAAAATAGTGAGAATTACAGATATCGAGAGTAAGTCTATTTTGTTTTGGATGTGTTCACGATACAAAAAAGAGAATATGTGGTTTTCACATAGTTAACTGGCTGACATAAGGTGTTTTTTAACGGTAGTGATGAAATGGTGGTTGAGTCTGCGGTCCTAGAATTTTTCGGCAAGGAGTTCCAGATTTTAGGCCGTTTTTATGTACATTGAGTTTCTGAAGAGACTTAGCCGGAAACGAGAAATGTCATGATATTTTGTGTCTCGTATTGTGTCTATGAATCCTGTTGCAACTATCAAGAAAGTGTTTTAGTTCAGGGTTAATATTAGAATTTATGGGCCTGTGTGAAAATTTGTGTGGACTGCCTCCAAGTGAGTCGCCTACCCTGGCAAACTCTGTTGACACCGAGCTCTGAGGTGGGTACCTCAGCCTCACAAGTGGCTTATAGGACAGATTTTCACAAATGATTGGTATTGCAAGAAACCTCGCCTGCATGCACGTATAAAGGACTAACTTACTTGGTGTTGCAGCATATATCCTGATCTTCACTTCCCTAAGCTAGCCTTAGCCCCTTTGGACTCCCCCTCAGAAACCACGTGCAACCGGGAGCATTAATTCCTGCAATATTCAATCGTAATTAGTGTCCTGCCTGCACCTCAGAAATTCCTATATCCAAGAGGGTATGTATCCCCTAGTATAACTATGCAGACTCAGACACTAGCTTCCAGACTGCTCTGAGACACTGGTACTTACTGGGCATGCTCAACCTGTTGCAACCGGGCCCACAGTTGACTCACTCACAATCTCCCCAGACACTGGCCAGTAATCTACGAGATAAAGGAGGTCTTGTCTTACTGTATGGGCCTGACGGAGGAGGTCATCTATGGTACATCGAGGTGCCTCTACCAGATTTCCCCAGGTCTCAAATGTGAAGACATGTGGGGGCGCCGTCTGCTGATCACGGCACGTCTTGTCCAGTTGGTGTCTGTCTTAAGAAGAACGAGCTGGTCCCTCTTCCAGACCCTCGTCTCTTCCTTCAAACTAGGGCTGCCGGTTCTCCCTAGCTAACTTATCCTAGTGTTTGCCTACATTATCGGCCTATTACTACCTATGTTAAGGTCTTAGGTCTACATTATCATTATCTACAGATGCCTTAGTAAACCTAATATTAGTGTACTACCAGTAAAACTACCTACTCCTTCCCTGAAGAGTAAATCTATAAATTAAATACATGCCTACCAAGAATCCATCGCCGACAAGAGAATGCTTCCTTGTTTGGGTGGGGTATAAGGGCCATCCAGCTCAGCCGTCCCGTATGGCCATGCTGGATCTGTCCTGTGGAATTTTAGGGACCAAATAAATTTCCACAGCCTGTATATGTAGGTTGCACAGTAATAGGTGTGAATGTTTTGTACAGTGAGTAAATTTAGGTCTTTGAAAAGTGGGGGGGGGATCCGTTTAGCATTGGATTGCGTGATAATTCTTACTTCAGCTTTTTGTTGGGCTATTATTGGCTTTCTAAAGTATTGCACGGAAACCAAAATTAGGAATGGCTTTATGAAACTGACAAAAAGCCTTTACTGGTGCTGAAAAATGGTAAACCATCAGATGACTCATTCTAAACTTACAAGTAAGGAGATGTTAAAAGAAAAACGATCCGTTAATAAACCCCTCCCCAAAGTTTGGTCAGCCGGGTTGTGAAGGGTGGTGTCCCTCTCTACACAAACCACCACTACCCACACACACCACCCACCACACCCATGCAAGAAGCCCTTCGGTCAGTTCCTCAAAAGAGGTTAATGCAGAAGTAGAGGATCAGGCAACTCAGCAAAGGCATGCAATGGATCGGAATGCTGAAGGGAGGCAAAAAATGTATGGTAAGTGCGAGGTTCAGAGGGGGGCCCCTGTGAGGCGGGGTTCCACGGGGTCGTCCTAGCCCTGTGCTGTTTTTGTTTTTGTGAATGACATCGGGGGTGGGCTCAGAAGTGCCCTTGTTTGCAGATGTGTAAAATTAATGAGGAGAATAAAATCGGTGGGGATCGGGCAGACTACAAAGGCCTTGAATTTACCCTGCCAAATGCAAGGTCAGAAGATGGGGAAAGGGCAAAAAAGATGCAGAGAGTATGTTAGGTGGCCAAAAGACTGCAAACCCTCACTAAGGAAAAAAAAATTTTGGGGGTGGTTTAATCCAAGCACATTGTAAGGGCCCATCAATCATAACGCTGCGGTTTTATGGGTCTGGAAAAACCTAAGGATAGCATTGGTACTCAGTAAGGAATCATTAAAAAACTCTTTACAATGAGTCAGGCCCATAGGAGTATGCGCACATTTTGGGAATCCACACGGGTCAAGCACGTAAGAAATTAGAGAAAGGCAAAGGTTTGAACAAGACTAGTCCCAGAGCTAGGGGATTGCCCTACGAGGAAAAGCAAAAGGAAATTGGCCTGACGACAGGAGGAAGGAGGGTCAGGGAGCATGATAAGACAAAAAAAAAATATGCGGGGAATAGAAAAGGGGTCAAAGACAGGATGTTCCAGAGGGGGGGACCAGAAAAAAAGGGGGTCACAATTGGGAAGCTGAAGACTAGATGGTAAAGGGATTTTAGGAAGTATTTCTTTAGTCTTTGATTTGTCGGAAAGGAGTGTTGCAAGGACGTGGGAGGAGGAACCTACATATTTTTAAATTTAAAGGCGAAGTAGATAAAGTCAGGGGTAGGGAGGAGCCCTAGTAGCAATCAGTAAAGAGGGGGGGGCCCAGGAGCTATGACTGCCCGCAACCCCAAATGGGTGAGTACAAATAGGAAAAGCGCCCCACACACAAAGTTGAAAATTGTATGCTTTTTAAAATGAGATTAGTTAATTTTATGTTTTATATCTTCAATACAAATAAAACCCCCAAAAAATGCTTTTTGGTTAAGGGTTTTAAAAAGATAGAAACAGTAATATTTGTTTTTAATAATTTATTTTACAAGTACAGTAAAAGGTATACAGCGTAGTGACATAAATGATATCTACTATTAAAAACCCCCTTTTTATTTTATTTTAATAAAAAAAGAAGCGCTAACCCCCAAGGGTTTAACAGCGGGAAACCCCCTTGTTATGCTCAGCTTTTCGGACAATTTAGGTCATGTCCGGGAGATCGACCCACACCAGTAACTAATGTGTATCAGATGTTTAAAAATTTAATCCGTATTTATCTCTGCTTTTTGCTTTGACACTTTTAGTGGGCTGAAGAATCTCTCTTGAAATGTCCAGCAATAGCTGCAAGCATTTTGTGCCCATTTGCCTGATACTTTTTTTCCCCGGGGTTGAACTTCTTGGTAAAAACCTTTCCCCATGTTCGTCATAACTGCCAAAATTTCTTGGAAAAAAAAAAGTCTAAATGTGAGCCCCGAAATTGGATTTGAAGTGGAATATTACCCCCTGTTCTTGTAAGCCTTTATGGGGTTTTCCCATATTTTTATATTTCCCTTCCCTTTTTTTTCCGGAAAAATCCCTTCCCCACTAACTTGTGCTTCCAAGTAACTTTTTTCCCCCCCCAATAAAGGTCTGATTCAAAGTCCCATCTTTAAAAAGCCTTTAAATCGTATCGTTAGTGAGGGGGAAATTTTTATGTTAAAAATTTGATCCTGCCGGATTTGTCCATAGCTTTTACAAAGTTTTCACGGGGCCCCGTTTTTGTGTAGTGGTGGTAGCAAAATTTTTTTTGGGTTATGAGAGGTGGAAAGTTGAAATTTTTCATCCCAGGTCCAAAGATTGGGCGAGGTGGCCAGTCTCTTGATATATGGGAACCTCTTTTAGGCTGTCCCCTTACATAGAAAACAGCAGTACTTGGTGTTTCCGCCCCGTGCCAGAAAATCACCTATTTTCACCTCAAAATAAAACTTGCCCCGCAAACCACCTTCTATGCGTGGAGCAATAATGAAGGGCGTGAGATGTGAGTGTGGTAAAAAACAATGCCCCAAAACTGTTGGAAAATCTTTGACACGTAGGTGTATAGAAAA